TTTGAGCACCAAGAGTCAAGTCCTATGTTGGTGCCCTAAAATATAGGCAGTTTGAATTCAATGCAAAAAAAAGAAAAAAAAAAACAATTAGGGAACATCCCCCATGTCACTCAGATCCTTCAACACAGAGTTTCTAGCTCATTCTCCACTTAATGCCATAGGATGGCTCTACGCCTTCTTAGCAATGGCAGGTGTGTAAACTGCCCCTTGACTTGTGATTCCTGCTGCTTGTGTGTCTATCCCAGTGCAGTGAGGCCATCCAGATGCTCCCCTCGCTCTTTGTTTTAGAACAAGGCTCAGTGCTTGTGCCCCTCTGGCTGTGAGCTCAGCACAGGTTCTGTCAAAGAAACCTTCCCGAGAATCCTCCTTCCATCAACAACCATGGTGCCATCTACCCAGTTCTTAGTTAACCTATTTTGAAATTATTGCATTGTCTTCTGGCAACTCCCACGGGAATTTCACATCCATGTTATCGTAGTGCCTCACTCAAAACTTTGAATTTCACATCCTGCTCTTCAGTGTTTCCTAATTTGTGAGAGCCCAGTTAGGTGATGTTCTCAATACCTGAACTCTGAGCACCGTCACAATCACCTTTTTTTGACTAGGATTAATATTTGGAACTGGGATGCTTTGCACTTTGTGGTTTTTGCTCTGTAGAACTTATGAATTGTAGCGTTTGTTAATTTATGATATTGGGATATAATGCTCAAATCCTTCGAGTCAAGATGTTGTGAAGGGGCGGATCCACCTGGGGAAATTTTCTAGTACATTTTGGGTGCATCTTATGTGTAAGACATGTGTAAGACATAAAGGGTTTGCAAGAACTAAATAAGATTGCTTGTTGAGCCCTAGGAAGAAAACAAGGTTTCTCTTGTTTAAAAGGCCACCACAATTTACTATGAAATGTGACTGTAATAATAGCAGTGAACTAAACCAAGAGAGAATAAAAAAAATATGCATCCATGGGAAGGTTAACCTCATTAATCCTTTAAAAAATTGTTTGTGAAATGTTTTGAGATACCAGGTTGTCTACACACACAGGATCCTAGTGAATATAATGAAGAATATTATGATTCTGCAGGCTGCACTGGGTTCTGTAGTAACTACAGTTATCCAGGGAATACACCGCTCATAAAAGGGCAACCGAGTGCTCCCAGGAGTGTTAAGTCCTCCTGGCCTGTGAGGATAATAAATAGATTGGAGATATTTGGATCGAAGAAGAGATGTTCTAGTTAATCATCCCCAAAAGGTGTGTGCTTTGTGGTGCAAAACAGCACTTCTCATTTTCTGAGAGACTACTTAATTTACACATTTTGTTTGTTTGCTCATTGTCAGTTTCTCCTACTAGAATGAGTTCCATGAAGGTAAGGAGGTTCTGTTTTGTTTTCTCTTGGACCTTCCGTGCCTGGCACCTGGTTCGTGAAAGGTTTATCTAGAAGAAGATAGAGACTGGGTCAATGAGCTAAGAGAAGGGTAAAAGTGGAAGGAGGCAGATTTTTTGGCTCAACACACGGGCTTTTGTAATTATGGACACTATCTGCATGCTGGGCCAGGAAGAGGTGCCTTCTCTAGAGGTCCAGCTGGATCCCGATGACTGTTGGGCTGGGACATGTTTGGGGATGGCACAGTGGGGGTGGTTGGCCACCAAGTTCATTTCCAGCCTTGTGGTCCAGAAGATGGGCCTTTGCCAAAGGCTTGACGATGGAGGGAACCCAAGATGATGACATTGTGTCCTGAATGATGGTAACTAATTGAACTTGGGGTATGAAAGGTAAGGGGTCAGGGATGGCGTTGATCCTCCCGGCTTCTGTACTTTGAGGATGGTGAAAGGAAAGACTGACGTTCAACAGAAAAGCTGCCTGTGGGCAAACTTGAAGCGATGGTTATAAATCTTGAGTTTAATGTGTTAGTGGGTCACACAGGAGACATCCAGAGGGTGATTATGTTCAGGTAGATATAGAGCTCAGGAGAGCCTGAGGTAGGTATGCCTATTTTTTAAGAAAAATCCACACCCCTCTCTCCAGGAAGGTATCTGAAAAATGATGCTTAAAAGATGCCTTAGGTGAGTAGATCACTTAGCTCTACAATTTCATATAATTATGTGGAATGTAAGTGTCATAGTTTCACTTCACACATAAGAAGATAGAAGCCCAGAGTGACTTTTTTTTTTGCTTCTTCTGGCCAGAGGTCTAACTTGAATCCCTGTCTTCGGAGTCTGAGTGTGAAGCTTTATCTCCAGTGTTCTGCTTCAGGGAACGGAGAGTCACCAGAATGAGACTCCTTCTGATGGGATGGACTAGCTGGTTGCTCACTGGCAGTGAGAGTATCCAGCACTTGTCCTTGCCTCAGCTGTGGACACACCCCTCCCCAATTCCAGTTCCAGGGCTCACCACCTGCTACTGGGAAGCCTCACAATAAAGCTGCGAGTCCACGATGGCTGCAAACTTCCTTGGATGGGCTGGTACGACGTACTCCCCAGGACAAGGCTGTCTCAGCGCTGGGCTCTTCTCTCCCTCCTCTAGTGAGGATGTTCACTGTGAGAGCAGCTAAATGGGTAGTCAGGTGCAATGGCTTGGGATCTGGGAGAAAATGAGCTCGCCAGGGAGCCATGAATAAGTTGTTAGAGCTAAGTGGAAAGGAGAAGTGGAGGGAATTTGGAGAGGCAGCTGAAGAAGGCAGTGGGGAGCACTGAGGCAACACGGGGTAGATTCACTGAGAACACCGTTTCAGGAGAGCATCTGTCCAGCAGCAGCATTAGAGCATCTCTTTGTACCCGGAATGACTTCAGTGGGCAACGAAGGAAGAGGTTGCTGGGGGAGCCAACGAACTAGGAGTGTTTTCTGGAAAAGTAATCTCCTGTCTCATGGGGCTGACGTCCGCACCTGCTATACTTTCACAACGTTTTGTGTGAAAGCTAAGTTTTATTTGCTCTACAGAAAAGGCTGGGCAGTAACTGCCCAGCACCCTCAGAAGATAGAGACTGGGTCAATTTTTACTTAACAGGCCTGTGCCTTGCAATGGAAAGCCAGAGGGTTGTGGCATCCTTTTTCTTTCTTTTTTCTTTTTTTTTCCCCCCTCTTGCCATTTTTGGAACCGTAATTCAGCACTACCGGATTAGGCATGTTCTCTCAAACTAAAAATCAAAAGCTCTCCTATGGGGAAAGTCTCAATGTTATACTTGAAAGAGGTGACAGCCGCATTACTGCCATCAAAAATAATTTATTAACTGTGTCTGTGTAAAATACTCTGGTAGGCACCAAATCCCAGGGGCTTCCCGTTTCAATGCATCCTCTGCTCCCTGCAGTCTTCCCCGCAATCTGCTGGGCTCTCCACCTGCGAATAAAATGGATACCTTGAAAACTTCGTCCCGTGGAGGCTCTGAGGGTACAAGGGGACGCTGGCTCCTGCATGGGCGCCAGTCTTGCGGTGCTGGGGAGGTGTCCCAGGAGGCGGGCATCCTCAGCTTCTCATTCTCAGAGCTTGTAAATAAAAACATCTTTCCAGCTTCCACCGTAGACCAGGAAATCTGGGGGGGGGGGGGGAGTTGACAGGCAAGGTTTTGCATCATCAGCATAAAGCAGGCCGCTGCTGGCTCGCTCTCAGCCTCTCCCTGGCTCCCTCGCCCAGTCCCCCGAGCCCCCAGGCAGGTCCGTCCCCCCACTGCACCTGACATACAGGTACGCCGGCGCCTCTGCACCCCAGGTAAGAAACCAGCAACGCAATATGGGATCCCTACCCAGATCCTTCCAGATTCTACCTCTGACCATCGGTCGCCCCGTGTGAACATGTGCACCTGTGCTTTCATCTATCTACATTTAGGGACGAGCCTTTTTTATTTTTTTAAGGTAAGTTATCCTCCATCTGCCAGGTGTCCGTGCACGAAGGTCCTGTGCTCACCGGCAGCTCCCTGGGGGCCCCCGCCCGCAGCGCGGCTCTGACCCCGCGGGGTCCTGCGCTGCCGGCTCGTGGGCTCGCCTGGAGCAGCCTCCATCAGGGGCGGGGGGGAGGCGCCGCTCCGCCCGCAGCCCAGCCCGTCGGCGGCGGCGGCGGCGGCGGCCCCGCGCACGGCGCACCCTCCCGGCGGCCGCAGCTCGCCCGGAGCCACCTGCCGCCCGAGCTCCGCCCCGGGGCCACCTGCCGCCCGAGCTCCGCGGCGCCCCCGGCCCGGACGCGGCGCCCCGCCGCCCCCCCGACGCGTGACCCCGCGGCCATCGCCAACCTCCGGCTCCCGGGCTCGCGGACTTGGGGTCCCCGGCGGCGGCGGCGGCGGCGGCAGAGGAGGCGAGCCCGGCCGCTCGCCCTCCGCGCTGCGCTCGGATTGGTCTCTCCCGGGGAGCGCCGGCCGAGGGTTGGCTGCGGGCCGGCTGAAGAACAGGTGCGCGAGCCGCGGGGCTCGCCGAGCAGCCGCCGCGGGACCCCTGTGTCGGAATGCGGCTCCCCGGCGCCCGGCGCGGCCCCTGATCCGGGGCGAGGCCCGGCGGGAGGGCGGGAGGGCGCCCCGAGGATGCCGGCGCGGCTGGAGCGCACGCAGGCGGCGGGCGGCGGCGGGAGCAGCAGGAGCAGCAGCAGCAGCAGCAGCAGCGGCAGCGGCAGCAGCAGCAGCAGCAGCATCAGCTTCAGCAGCGGCAGCAGCAGCAGCGGCGGCGGCGGCGGGCGCGGGGCCCCGGCGCGCAGGAGGCCGCTCGGAGGGCTGCACACGCGCCCCGCCGCTCCCTGACCGGCCCCGCGTCCGCGCTCCCCGCCGCCCCCTCCCCTCCCCTCCCCTCCCCGGCCCGCGTCCCCTCCCCCGCCCCTCGCCTCCCCGCCCGCCGCCCGCCTCTCGGGGGGAGGGGCGTGGGGGCAGGGAGCCGATTTGCATGCGGCCGCCGCGGCCGCTGCCTGCGCCCGAGCCCGAGCCCGAGCCGCCGCCGCCGCCGCCGCCGCCGCCGGAGCCCGGCCCGCGCGGCCCCATGCCTGTGGCGCGGCCCTCGGGGGGGCGGAGGTGAAGACCGGCTCCTAGGATGAGTGAGGGCGCGGCCGCTGCCTCGCCACCGGGAGCCGCTCCGGCAGCCGCCGCCTCGGCCGAGGAGGGCACCGCGGCGGCTGCGGCGGCGGCGGCGGCGGCGGGGCCCGGACGGCGGCGGCGAAGGGGCGGCCGAGCCCCCCCGGGAGCTGCGCTGCAGCGACTGCATCGTGTGGAACCGGCAGCAGACGTGGCTGTGCGTGGTGCCCCTGTTCATCGGCTTCGTCGGCCTGGGGCTCAGCCTCATGCTGCTCAAATGGATCGTGGTGGGCTCCGTCAAGGAGTACGTGCCCACCGACCTGGTGGACTCCAAGGGGATGGGCCAGGACCCCTTCTTCCTCTCCAAGCCCAGCTCCTTCCCCAAGGCCATGGAGACCACCACCACCACCACGGCCACCGCGTCCCCCGCCACCCCCTCCGCCGGCGGCGCCGCCTCCTCCAGGACGCCCAACCGGATTAGCACGCGCCTGACGACCATCACGCGGGCGCCCACTCGCTTCCCCGGGCACCGGGTGCCCATCCGGGCCAGCCCGCGCTCCACCACGGCGCGGGGCACGGCGGCGCCCCCGACGGCCCTGCCCACCACGGCCGCGGTCTTCAGTGGCAGCGCGCCGGGCTCCCGCCCCCCGGGCCCGGGGGCGCCCAGCACGCAGGCCGTGCCCTCCTGGCCCACTGCGGCACACGCTACCTCCTCCTACCTCCACGATTCGACTCCGTCCTGGACCCTGTCCCCCTTCCAGGAGGCTGCCTCCACCTCCGCCGCCGCCGCCGCCTCCTCCTCGCCTTCCTCCTCCCCGACCACCACCACGCCGGAAACTAGCACCAGCCCCCGACTCCGTAAGTACAGCCCGGGCCCCGAGGGCCGGTGCCCCGGAGCGGCCGTGCGCCCCCGCCCCCCCCCCCCCCGCGACCTCCCCGCCCCCCGGCCCCCGCACCCCGCCGGCCTCCCAGCCGCCTGCAGCGCTCGGCCCTGCCCGCGGTGGGCGCCCCGGCCTCCTCCGGGGGGTCCCGCCCCGGCCCGACGCCCTCCGAAGGGTTAACCCGGCGCGAGGTGCGCTCGCTGCAGCCCTGCGGGCGAGCTCGGGATGCGGGCCCTGGGAGCCCCGGCGGGGGGGCAGGGGGGGCCTCCCCGAAGCACCGGGGCCTCTCGCCGCCGCTGGGAAGCGGGGGAAGAAAAGCACAGCAAACTGACCGACGACAAGCCGCGGAGGGAAGTTGTGTCCCCGCGGGGGTGCGGGGCCGAGCCCCCCCCCCCCCGCAGGTGATGGAACGGACTGCAAGGACTACGGAGCCCCGACCCGACCCGGGCGGGGAGCTGCAAGGGTTAATTGGAAGCCAGTGGGGAGGTGGGAAGGGAGGTGGTCCTGGGCGGAGGGCTGAGCCCACCCCCCTGACACCCCCCCAGCCCGCCCCAGGCCCTTCCGGGGTGCAGAGGTTGGTCCCCTGGCCTCAGCGAGTTCAGCAGGGTGGGAAGGGAGCCCCGCCGAGCTACCGCCTCTGGGGTCCTGATGGAGGAGCAGCTTTTTCAGCCCTGTCAAGCGTTTGCTTTTGTTCCTTTCCCGAATGTGGGGGGTGAACCCCCTGTCCCCTCCCTCTGCACCTGAGCCGGAGGAGAGGAATTGCACGCCGAGTTCTCTGCACCTGGGGAGGGGGGTGGGGGGGACGTCCAGCCCCTTGCAAACAGGTCACTCTGCGCACGGAGCATCTCCAGCCCTGGCGGCGCGGTTGCTGCCAGGAGGGGGCCGGCTGACCCCCCCACAGGGGCCGTTTCCCCTGTATTAGTGGAAGTGGTGGATATTTTCCCCTTTATCTTTACAAATGTTCTATGAGACTAATTGATTGACCTCCCCCCACCCCGCACCCCCCACCTTGCTCTTACTCTTAGGAAGTGTTAGCGAGCTTCTGCGTCTGACTATTGATCAGGATATGGGAAACACTTTGCAACCTGTGAAGGTTATTTAGGACAAACCCCCAGCCTGCCAGGGCAAGTTCCCTGCGAGCGAGCCTGCCCTCCCAGAACTGTCTAGTTGTGCCGTCCTTAACGTTGCGTTTCTGTTCTGAGCGATCACATCTGGAGAGGAAGGGGAGAGGACTCATCATTCACTCTTCCCGTAGGAACACCTGGGTTGGATTCAAGTCCTCTGGCAGTTTTTTCATTTCTCTGACCTGGGGTCTCACCCTGGGTGTTATTTGACCCTTACAACTTTTTTTTTTTTTTCATTTAAAGGATTTAGTGCATTTGTGTGTAAAAATCCAAGAGAGAAATTGCTGAACGCCCTGCCCGTACTCTGGGAAAGAAAATAGGCTGAAGATAAATTGGGAGTCAGGGAGAAGAGGGGAAGGAGGGAAGCTGCCACAAACCAGAATGGCAGGCAGACCGGTAACTTGCTGCTTCCCTCTCCTTTGGCTGAAGCAGTCATTTTTGAGAGCACATTTTCTCAGGACGTGTTTGGAGGCTTAGATCTCAGCAGACCTGGCTGGAGTTTTGTGGAGGATAAAGGATGTGCAAGTGTCTGCATGGACATAGTCAGTGGTTTGAACACGCATATGTATCTATCCCGGAGACCTGAGATTTTTATCTTTTGACGCAACTGATACGAATAATCGAGTGTGGGTGTCCTTCTTCACTGTATGTGTGTGTGTGTCTATATGTGGGGGGGGGTCTTCTATATTGGGGGGGGTATTTCATGTTCTTTCTCAAATGATTTCCTTGCGTTCCATTCCGGAGGTCTTTAAAGAAAAGCCCAAGGTAATTATTTCTGCCTCTCCATGCTCCTTTTCTACATACTGTAGAAGGGAATGGCAGCCTGTTTAATAAGTAATGATTATTGACAGGGCTCTCAGCCCCAAGGAAAAGGGGCGATGGGGGGGGGAATCTGTAAATGGTGTCAATGTTCACTTAGACATATAAGCAGCATTTGTTTTATGTGTATCTGAGGTCCAGCTCTTGCTCGTTTTTTTAAACCTGCAACAAGGAGTTGAATTAAAGGATAAAACACGAGTATGCAAATCCAATAGAAACTGACCTGGTTTGCATATATCAACAAGGGGAATTTTAATGAAAGGAAGATTAGGTGGTTTCCATAAAAGACGAATTTAAATAGATAGGTTTATATGGTAATTTAAAGAAAAGAATAGTTTAATTATTATTTTTTGTTCAAGATCACAGGATGATTAACAAAAGGATGGAAGGATTTCATTTGAGGGATTGCTAGCACTGCTACTGTAGACTGAAGAATGGCCTGAATATCTGGCATTTTATTTTTCACTTGTTTTGATTATGTTACTAAAGTTCCTAGGAGAGAAATTCCCCTTTTTCCTAGTTCCTACCTTCAGACTTCAATAGATTTTTTTTTTTGTTTTCTCTTTCCTTTCTTCCTTCCTTCCTTCCTTCTTTCTTCTTTTTAAAATGAGAGTCATGAATTATGTTGTAGCACCTGAGGACAGCTGAGGATGAGGCTGTGATTTTTCAAGACAAAGTCACAAATTCCGTAGTGGCCAAGATCTTTGCTCTTGAACTGAACATCTCAGGGCTTACCGAATGAATGTCTTTGTGTTTGTCTTAGGTCAGTCAGAAGGATCTGCTCTGTAAAGGCAGCACAGCTCTTTGGAGGAAGAGAGTCTGGTTCCCTCTTACAAACACACTTGCTGATGGGTAGTAGGCAAAACACAAGCTATTTTTGTTATGGGGAAGGCTGCGTTTAGAAGATTCTAATTTTCTGTAGGGTCGAAGACAAAGATTGAATTTAAAAGGCAGAAGGAAGGGAAGGGCCTGAAGCCCACTATTCTCTTGTCCTCTTCCAACCTTTGGACCATGAGCTGGACCAAAACTTTCTTCCACGTTACCGGGATCTCCTGTGTTCCCAGTTAGTTGGCCAAGACTTGCTTTAGCTTCAGATGTTTTAGAAACAAATTATCTTGAACATACAGCCACCAGATCATTTCACCAAAAACCTCCTCGAAGCGTTTGGCCTCCGAGAGTGTAGAGTAGTTCACAAATTTTTCAAGTCGAAGGGAGATTTACTATAGACAGTAGAGGAAGAGTGGTTTTGACCGGTTTACAAACAGCCTTCTACAGCGCAGTGAATTGTATTTTCAGACTTGGAACTTATATGTAGAGTGTTGTCCATGCGAGTCTGGATTGTTACTTGACTCAGCTGGAAGCACTGTTTTCACAGTTCAGAGTTCAGAGTCAGTCATTGGCTAAATTCGGATATACTGGAGACAAGGAACCACTTTTAGTTGGTTAAGGGTTTAGGGTCTTATTTGGAAGATATGTGGTTAATTACCAGAAGTAAGATCACAAATCTCAAATAGTGCATTTAGTGAAGAGATACATGTGGCTTGTATCATTGATATATAAACATGGTGGGGGGGATGATTTTATTATAAGTAAGTGTATTTAAATAAAACTTGACCTGGTCCTGCCTATCAGGATTTTGAAGACCGCCATTGATAACACTGAGTATCTTTTCTTCTTTTCTTTTAAATTTTATTTTATTAAAATTAAATTAATTAACATACAGCATATTAGTTTTGGAGGTAGAGGTGAGTGATTCATTAGTGGCCTATAACACCCAGTGCCCATCGCATCACGTGCCCTTCTTAATGCCCATCCCCCAGTTACCCCATCCCCGCACCCCCACACCAAGTATTTTTCTGTGTTCTGTCTTTCAAGAAGAGTCTTATTCTTAGTTATTTTATAGTGGCCTTATGTGTAATTTGCTTAAATAAAATTACTTCCATATATTACCTTCTATTTACATGAATCGAAGCCTTCAGAGGAGTTCCAGCCTAGCAGGTACCAATCCCACCAAAGCGAGAGGATTCAAAACTCAAGGTCAATATTTCTTATGAAATTCAATCGAGAGCTTTTTTTTTTTTATGAGCACATGCTACAACCTGAGTATGTTTTTATTTCCTTGGCCTTCATACAGGAACATGAGACTTTTCTAGTTTAATCAGTTATACAGTGTGTTTTGCTCTGTAGACGCATATGTAGTAGTTCATCATCTTCACACACTGAAAAACAAGGGGCAGGACAGGTGTGGTGCATGAAGACTGCGTAGAGCCTTCCTCCTCAATTCTCCATGACTGGGGTAAGAGATTGGCAATAGAGTTGCTAATTGAGATGACCTTTTGCAGGGCTGGTTTGTGAATCCAGATTTGTGCTGTGTTTCCAGGATAGCCTTTTTTAACACAGTGTTGATCCACAAACTAGTCAGAGAGGGGAAAAAAAAAAACCCAACAAACAGACAGGAGAAGCTGGTTTGTAGCAACTGCTGTTACTTTTCTAAATCCAGATTGGGCCATGAACGAGAGTGCTGGTACGGTGTGAATCAGTGCCATCTCCGGAGGTCTGGTGTGCAGAGGAGCAAGGTCTCTCTTCCCTTGGGCATGCGTCCCCAGTCCTTCCTCCTCCCCACAGCACAATGAGAAGAAGGCAAAATTTCGACTTGCTTCTTTTGTAGAAATTCTTTGCTCATAACCTATCCGGTGCCAGGCATATCTCGATACTCTATCTGGGATGTTGAAAATGGAACATGAAAGTTGGCCCTGAAATATATAAGAGCAAGGGAAGAGCCATAAATCTAAGTCTGTAAAAGGCATTTGAATTACTTGTGAATAGAACTGAAATTCATTTTTTCCCCCTTTGAATCTGTTTTTATCCTTAGACTTTTGTGTTGGGTGAGGCCGAGCTGTACTCGGTTGACAAATACCACTGAGACATTTTGAGATCCTAGACGGTTTTTCTTGTCTACACCCAGAAAAGTGTTTCCTCCAGAGTCACACACACATATTGAAAGGGGTGAGGGGAATAGACTGAGTTTAAACTT